GTCTTCCCTCGTCGCAGAGTGTCCACCGATATAGGTAATCAAAATAGGGATTGTCAATTGAAATCTCACGAGTCTGATCAAGGGTGTAGGAAGCATCTTTAGGTTTATTTATGACTCCTCACCGATGTTTTAGTTATGAATTTTAGCTGTAAGGACAGTAGTCATCTTTTCTTTTGGCAACAAAAGATGGAACTTTTGATTTGTAGGTGAAACGTGTCTCTGGCTCCACTAGGTTTCCCTTTTAAGTTTCCATTTTTAATTCAGAAGTAATTCAAGGCAGAGGTGTTTTGGTAAACTTGGCCCCTTGCGTTTTTTAAGCTGAAATAATTATGAAATAAAGGCTTACATTTGGAACAGCTCAATTTTTTTATGTTTTTCAAACCATCCGTTAAACCATGGTTCATTTGGTTCCAAATTTCCGGCAAAATAATGATGATAACATATAAAAATTCACATTGAAATATTCGTGAGGCACAAAGTAGCCACCTTTGGTAAAGGAAACCCTGTTGATATCTTACACTCCTTACCGTCGGTCTCTGCAGAATTGTGTTTGGTTGCAGTATGATTCTCTCTTGTGTTAGAGGGATTGATACTGAGCCTGAATCATTCTCGGTGTTCGAAGAATCTATCGACAACCAGTCCTCTGTTTCATCGAGTTTAAAACACAATAGATTTCGAGTCAACAGATTATCGTCGTTATCATCCTCCATTGCCCCTGTGTCTTCGATTTGCACGAAATGTTCTGAAAAAGTGCATGGATAGGAGAGATTGATGCAGGTAGTTATGCTGTTACTTAAATCAACCTCCCAACAATAGTATTGCCGACTCAGTTTTATGAACGAGATTGACATTTCTTTTCAAGCTATCCAAAGAGTACTTCCTACAAATCGCGATCACCTGGAAAGGCTATGCAAAGAGATTACTGGTTTTGGGAAAAAATGGTTGGAGCCAACTATCTATCACTAAAAATTGACCTTAGCTTCAAGGTACTTTTTGATCTCTCTAGAAGGTCATAACCACATGTAAAAGGAAGCACAAAAAGACAAAAAGTTGGTAATATAGGGAATGTTTACAAGGAAAATCATTTTTCACCTCTAAAGGCGACCTAAGAGGCACAGTTAAGTTCAAACTGAAGGAGTTCGGATTTGCTCTGTCTTTGGCTAAGGCCTCTCTTTCTGGCTGCGACAAAAGTCAATTGAAATTTCATCATGGTCGTCTTCTTTTCAGGTATGGTATAATAGTATTAGATCAATGTGAATTATGAGTAAAACTGGTTTTCTACATGCAAATGAAAAAAATCCTCCCTTCAACTTACTCTTTTCCATTTCATTGCCTCCAAGAAATACATCATCACCAAAATGATCATTGTCCAACGAAGCCTGGTTCGATCTAATGACAATACAACTGAGGTTTTGCACTTTACCGACACTGGTATAATCTGACAAATGAAAAGAAAATGTACCGATTAATATTTTTCTGAAGTTTACTGAAATGCATTACCATTAGTTAGAAAGCATGATGGCGTTTTTATCCAATAATTTAAAAGATAATGTTGTCAGAAACATAAATTATGAACTGAAATTGAAATTTTGAAACGTCTGATCCTGTAGTTATGACTACTTTACAGCTCTAGCTGATATACTTTGCAAAACACTTGTCCGGAGTACTTGACTTCCCCACTCCTTCTACATGAATAAAGGCTTGGCCCAGAATTGCCATGAATAAACCCTATAAAAACCAGTTAGGAGTTCTAATAAAGAAAGGAGCAATGACATTAACATACTGGAGTTGCGCTTTTAGCTNTGTTTCTCTTGTAGTTCACTTTCGTCGTTACTCGAAATGGTCTGGATGTCACACTGGCTGTCAGTCCAGAAATTAAATCTATCTTGAGAGTTACTTCCCATTTGTTCCGCTCAGTGACATCCGCCTTCTCCAACCAATAGAAGTTGTCTCCCGCTTGGTTCTTGTAAACTGAACCGAGATCTACAGAAATAATTTGTCGCTTCTTCTCCTTTTCCAAAATACTGACTGTAAGTTCAACGGCACCTGATTTTCATATAAAGTTAAACAAGGACGTAATACGCAGTAAACAAGGTATTTTTTGGCATGATCAAAGAACTACACACAAAAAAAAACGATGTGTCTCCTGGAATACTTATCAAATAGCAATCATTCAGATCCACTTTCCAAAAAATGCCAAAAATATAAGGATTCCTACTTCTGATCAATAAATCATTTATTACAGTGGTCTTCCAAAACTAGAACTACTGAGGCATTGAATACAAGTCTCAGGGAGCAATCAGTCTGAAATCATTTCTTTCCTACATATGAAATCTATGTTCGAAAATGATTTTTTGGTAAATAATCGCATAAAATTGTTCTATAATCTTGTAACCTACGCTTTCTATGCTTTCAACCATTTTTTACTGTTCATGCAGACATATTTTAATAAGTACTGATTATCATGCTCTAAAAAGTAATTATCTCTAAATGAATAAAAGGAATGTATTTCTCAGAAAGACTGAGGGCTTCAGAAAATCCTTGCCAAAATATCGAAGTACGTAGGTGAACCAATCCTCAGCGATGTTTAGTGTAGCGTGACAAAGTAAGTCAATGAAAAATTGATTGATTTATCGGCAGATCGAGTGGAATTTTCTTTATATACTTTTTCAGCGAGAAAGGAATGAATTCAAGAATTATTGTTCTTCTCTGGTTGAAAAAAACAGCACAATAATTTGGACAGATCATGTTAATTTTTTTTACGCAAAACTTAACTTAAGGGTGGTAAAGTTTCTTCCATCAGATTTATCCTTTATATCAAGACATAAGCTGCTGTTCCAAATCATCGAGTCAGCATATTTCTTCTGCAATGGTTTTTGTTTAAATGCAAACAATCATTTTTTTGAGCATGTACAAAGTGGAGTGGGCGAGGCATAATCAGTAGATGTTCAAAATCTTGCATGATAGCCATAACATTTAACTTACCTCTATTGTCGTGGGTTCTCATGGCAGCTCTGGCACTCCTCTTTACTTATGCACATACTTTAGTGATTCCCAGGTCGGCATGCACCTTTACCGTTACTTTGGAGTTTTCAAGGCGATATTCCAGGCCTTTGGGTCCTTTCTTAGTTTTCTTTTCATAAACATCCTTGAGATCCACAATTTCCACTTCCACTCTTTCTTCATAGTTGTTGTTCACAGTTCTAGAGTCCTTGGCTGCATTAACTACTTTATTCACATTCCCTAAAGATATCAAAAAAGATAAAAAACGTTTTTAATGCGCTGATGGGTATTACCAGAGATGGTTGTCTTAAAAGGTGAAAAATTTGACATTGCTTTCAACTGAATTGGTAGACCATTGCAAATGAAGTAGGCTCTTCGTTTGAGCAAGTAAAGTACTTTAGATTCAGAGCTTGGTGGACACTACTTTTTCTGTCTAAAATATAGAGTTCCATTTGGCCTTCTCATAGGTTCGCACTTTCGGACAGAGGAACCTTAGGTAATGGATCAATGTGGATTTGTGAATCTTGAGTACATTCTTATAAATAAGAAGAACTCAAGAGATGAATTCAATACATCGAAACACTTGTAAGGATACCTTCGTGGTAAATAAATGCTTATAATAAAAAAATCAGTCGATTTGAGCCCTTCTTCTCTTTGAAATTAGCGATCTTGAATCAATGTGGTGGTTGGGGAAACATATATAGCTCCTATCATTACTGAAAGGTTCAACAAAACTAAGGTGAGATTTTCAGCAGTTAAGTGTCTGCTGCAAAAAATTTTGAATTTTGGCAGAGTCGAATGATTAATCGACAGAACAAGCTATGGAATATGTTCGTCATAAATCCTATTTGGACTTCAGAAACAGAGGAAGATCATGGCGGATAATGATACGTATAGGTATCGGGCCAAATAAGAAACCCTGGTGAACACCAGAGTTGACGATTTGATGGAACACATGACACTAAGGAGAATGTCTTTATGTTAAAAAGACACAGTTGATAGATTAATGTTCTTCATTTTTTAAAGCTTGTTGATCTTTACATCAAAATACGACATAAGAGTTAGATGTGAGTAATCTAGCCGTGTTTATTGTTCAATTTTATTCAATTTAAGGGGAACGGTTTGTGATCTAAAGCACTGAGTTATTAAAGGGCCGGAAACGATTTTTTGACATATTTATTTTGTTGACAACTAGATTTTGCATTTGGAGTTCGAGAGGAAAACGTAATTAAGAATTTGGACCAAATCATACTGAGGTAGTAGTCAACGACGCGGTAATTACTAATGTCCTTTTTTATACTTTTATACGTGACAACTTCGTGATATGAATAACTTATGGTGTCTATAAATATACCCCTTATGAATGAGAAGCGGCGTTCGAAAGTCTACGGCCGAGCTAGGATTACTTTTACTCAACTAAGCCTTGAAGAATCAACAAATATGACTATGACTCATGCGAAACACAGCAGTGCAAGCATTAGTTTTGACTCTCATTTAGTGAGCTCCACTTCACTTAATGGCGTGAGCTCTTTCAAAAATTTACTTTTTACTCGGAAATTTGTAACGTTCGCACATTGTTGTGTAATTTTGTGATATAAATGTACTGTTACATATCGCAATAAAGATTGCTTCTTGGAAGACAACTCTATGATCCAATCTGATGTTTCCATTCCAAGGTGTCTAGGCTTCCATTGACGTCAGTCGCTGCATTTTTGACCACATCTACTGCGAGAACATCAACAAAAAATATCCTACAGCAATCGGCTGATTCTTACTATCCACTCTGTCCGCTTTCTAATAACACCTCCTTATAGCAAACAACTCACCCTTGGCTTTCTTTTGCGACGGTTACTTACTTGCAATTTTTCTTTGCTTTGAAATCATATTGTTACTAGAAGTTTGTCTCATATATGATTAAACTGTGAAGCGGAAAACGTTGAGTTCATCTGTTATGTAAGGTGATAAACCAAGAGACACACCAAATGCAGTTCTTCGATTACCCTTTACAGCGTGTGGTTCTCGATCAAATCAAGCAATAGTTTATCTCTGATCACATTTGTAGGACCGTCCAGCAACATTTAAGTCAATCGTACCGTCACAGTATTTATTTATATTGTAATTTAAAGTAAGGAAAACAATTAGTCGGCTCCCCCATGCGCTAATGAATGATAAAGGTGTATTCATATGATTGATATAAACTTGTGCAAGTTCTATCTTCAGAAAATTATTTTCAAGGAGATTAATGAATTTTTTTTTGTCAATGTAGCAACGATCAGTCATCTTAGAACTAATGGCCTACAATCCTTCGAGGATGTGTTGATTTATTTTGCCGATGAGGCAGAACGTACTGTTTCCTTAATATATCAATGATTTTTCCTTAATATATCAAATGATAAGCTTACCTGAGAGATTCCATTTCAAGAGTTCGCTCGAGCTCGTCTTGGTCTCACACTGCGCGTAGTTCTCTAGCAATTCAAATTTGCCTGAAAGATGCACTGAATCATACGGAGAAAGGCGTGACAGTGAGCATCCTAGCTCGGACTGAATCAGCTCGTCAACATCATTCAGAGTTTCTTCCCAATCCGAAGGAAACTGCATAGGGCTTAACTTCATTGTCTGGTCCTTCCAGCTGTTGTGAGCTCTCTGAAAGGCTGTTTCCAGGATACACCCTTCATTTAAAATTCCTGGCTCGTTTACAGCTTCCATGATTTTAAAGGGAGGATTAATTTCGGTCAGATGGAGGAGGAG